GATTATTTTTGTAGTTGTCGCTTTTCGTAGAAAAGTTTCTTTCATCTATCTTTATTCAACATTATGATTACGACGCTTTTTCTTATGGGTTTTTTACCGATTATTTTTGTTGCTGTCGCTTTTCTTAGAAAAGTTTCTTATGTCTTTCTTCATTCAACATTATGATTGCGACGCTTTTTTTCGACGTTGTTAATGTACAGCAACATCATGATAGGTTATACATCTTGAAGAATTTCTTTAGAGTAAAATATGAAAAAAGCATTTAGTCTTAGTCTTGATCAATTTTCAATCCACACACTTAAAGATGATGCATAGTTTCAAATAAACGCAACAAATAAACTTGCTTCTTTTTAAATTAATAAAACTATTAAGAGAACAATCTATATATATCTAGCATATTGCTTTTCGAGAGACTTCTCAACATCAAAGAAACATGGGGACTTTTGAGTCAATAATTTACAGAATCTAGTCCCAAAAGTTGGAGAAGACACCTCAGCTTCTGTCAAATGTTAGAAGTTTTTTTCTAAAACTTTCAAGGTGTTATGATAAACTCGAAAAAATCTAAGTTTAACTTATTTTTTGTCTCTATTCCTCTGTTTGAAGGCTCAGTAAAGTATTTTCTATTGATATAATCTTGCGAATAGTTTATGTTTTGCACGTTTCTATATTGGTATGGGTGTGAGAGAATTATGTACATTTACAGCCACACCATCCTCTGTCTCTTGACAACATCAAAACAATACAGAAACAATAGATTTCAAAATTATTTTGCACATTGTTTACCATTATAATGTCGTTTTTCTTTATTCAGTGGGAAACCAGACAGCAGGAGTTGACGAAATAAAGAACAATATAACACTCTCTATTGTTTAATTTTTTCCCCACCATTGTTGAGAAGTCATGGCATCGCATTTTTTCGTTGTTTTTGTACCTCGAGCTTAAATATTTCATAATCTGGCATTGTAATACATTCTCGAAACTTCTCATAACAAATATACACATATAAAAGAAGAAAGAAAACTCATTCTCTAATAATTTTTCAAACACAAGTATTGAATCTCAATTTGTTGTGCGATCGTATATTTTTTTATAAAAAGAAGAAACAACAGTCGAACAGTAGTCAAATGGAGCGGGTTTTGCGCCTTGCCTTGGTATTGTTGGCTTCAGTGAGTATTTTACTCGATGGAACCCATTTTCGTGGTGGTATCATTTCATGGTAAGTATATTCAAATAATGCTTGTTCTTCTAATCAATCTTGCATATTTTACTTTTTACGTTCTTCTTTTTTTTAGGCGTCCGTTAAATAGTACAGTACAGGGTAATTTTACAACAATTCTTTTACATCAAAGATATTTTTGGTGGAGAAATTATAGCGGTTTTCCTCGACCTTTATGCACGGAAGCGAATGTCGTTGCTCAAACACTTATTACTGTATCCGGTGCTGTTTTGAAGTGTATGAAGAACTGCGCAAGTTCTAACTTTTCTTCAGGTGGAATTCCAGCCAATATGAAAACTTCAGATTGTGATCCAAACCCGCTCATTGAATCATGGGGTGGTGAACTCTACACTAATCTGACACTACCTTTGACAACAGACATTACAATTGGCTATAACGCAAGTCAATGGCTGAGTGCACTCTGGAAAGGTAATAGTACTTCTTGGTCAATTGTCAATCGACTGAATCTCGCTCCGAGACCTGATGGTTACATAAATTCCAGTCCTGTTTCAACTACATTACCAGTAGTAATGTACCCAAGAAATGTACCAATAGTTCATGCTGTACAAATGTCAGATAATGATAATGGTGATAAATTACTATGCCGTTGGTCTAATTCGAATCAAACATATAATTACGACCAAGTTGATGAATGTGAAGGTGTCTGCCATGGACTGCCTCCGCCATATGGACTCGTCGCACCCAATTGTACTTTGACTTTCACTCTACCATATGCTAATATATATTATGCCTGTGCACTGCAAATCGAAGATTATTATCCCACTACTTTCGGTAGCAACGTGCCCCCAATGAGTTCGGTTCCAGTACAATTCTTATTTTATGCATACAATATTGCAGCTGGTGCATGCGCAAATGCTCCTTCAATTATTGGTGTCCGTCCAAATCTAGGTATGAATGTATATTCTATTTTAAATTAAACTCCAACATTTAATAATACTATCTTTTGTGTATTTAATTCTCTTCAGCTTGCATTGGCGTTCCATATAGTAAGTGCAGTAGATGCCTTTTCTTTTCTGATATTTACAATCGCTGTTTTAGATGTTCAGCTCAATGAAACTGTAGAGATACAAACATACTGTCCAGGTCAAACAATTATTGATTTGGTTACTAGTTCACCTATTGGAATGCAACATAGTGCTATTAGCAATCCAAGTCCTGGTAAGTAGTGGGTAGAAGTTTGTTAGAATGTACAAACTTGTGAATTTTAAATATAATATCTTAGGTTTATGGATAATGACATTAACATGGACACCCGTATCAGACCAAATAGGTCCTCAAGGTTTTTGTGCTGGTGCAATTGACAATAGTAGTTTACAATCAGCTCCATGGTGTATCACATATCTAGTTGGCTATGACTCACC